TGCAGCTAAACATGCTAGTAGATGTAGCTAATTATGCTAGTAGATGCAGCTAAACATGCTCGTAGATGCGGCTAAACATGCTACTTGATGCGGCTAAACATGCTAGTAGATGCAGCTAAACATGCTAGTAGATGCAGCTAAACATGCTAGTAGATGTAGCTAAACATGCTAGTAGATGCAGCTAAACATGCTCGTAGATGTAGCTAAACATGCTCGTAGATGTAGCTAAACATGCTAGTAGTTGCAGCTAAACATACTAGTAGATGTAGCTAAACATGCTAGTTGATGCAGCTAAACATGCTACTTGATGCGGCTAAACATGCTAGTAGATGCAGCTAAACATGCTAGTAGATGTAGCTAATTATGCTAGTAGATGCAGCTAAACATGCTAGTCGATGCAGCTAATCATGCTAGTTGATGCAGCTAAACATGCTAGTAGATGCAGCTAAACATGCTAGTAGTTGCAGCTAAACATGCTAGTAGATGTAGCTAAACATGCTAGTTGATGCAGCTAATCATGCTAGTAGATGCAGCTAAACATGCTAGTAGATGTAGCTAATCATGCTAGTAGTTGCAGCTAAACATGCTAGTAGATGTAGCTAAACATGCTAGTCGATGCAGCTAATCATGCTAGTAGTTGCAGCTAAACATGCTAGTAGATGTAGCTAAACATGCTACTTGATGCAGCTAAACATGCTAGTAGATGCAGCTAAACATGCTAGTAGTTGCAGCTAAACATGCTAGTAGATGTAGCTAAACATGCTAGTTGATGCAGCTAATCATGCTAGTAGATGCAGCTAAACATGCTAGTTGATGCAGCTAATCATGCTAGTAGTTGCAGCTAAACATGCTAGTAGATGTAGCTAAACATGCTAGTCGATGCAGCTAAACATGCTAGTAGATGTAGCTAAACATGCTAGTTGATGCAGCTAAACATGCTAGTAGATGTAGCTAATTATGTTAGTAGATGTAACTAAATATAATATAATACACAACAGTTACTAAAATCATCGATCAGCAGGCACCGGGCAAGCAAGATCCTTCAGAAGGCACAGACCCAGCTGCTGAATGAACGGGTGAGACAGACCAATTTTACTATTGAGGCCTTGAAGGCCAAAGAAGAGCACATTAAACAGAAACTAACAACGTGTCTAGATCAGACCACACTTCAGCAAGTGTTGGACTGTACAGATCAGGCACGCTTAGCACAGCATGTCAAGTCCAAGACTCGACAACAAAATAAGTTTAACTTACTAATAACTCATCAACACCATCACTATTCCAATAACAACACATTCAGTGTAGGACAACATGCCAGTAGTCAATTACATTCCAGGGAGACAGAAAAGTGGGTGAAGAATTTATCTGACAGACAGCTCACCCAGCCAGAGACAGAGATTCTTGCCAGGGGACTGAACTTTGCGGTTGCACCAAGTAGAATTCCTCTGGTGGAGATGATCACAGCTACTGAGTCAGCCATCCGCAACAACAAAATGAAAGAGGGTGAAGCAGAACAGCTCAGAATCAAAGTTTCAGCCTGCCTCAGCAATACCAAACCACCACCTTCCAACATCAGTAGAGAGGAGAGGGATGCACTCACCACTCTTAGCAAGGACAAAAACATCATCATTCTCCCAGCAGACAAAGGAAGGTGCACAGTGATTTTGAACCAGAAAGACTATCATGAGAAAGTTATGACACTCCTTAGTGACTTAACCACTTATGAACCTCTGAAAAGAGATCCAGGAAGTGGTTACAAGAAAAAGTTAATAGATTGCCTGAAAATTTTGGAGCAGGACAAGGCTATTGACCGTTTTCTGTACCACAGACTGTACCCAGGGGAGGCCACACCTAGTCTGTATGGTTTACCTAAAATCCACAAACAAGGTGTACCTTTAAGACCTATTGTTAGCATGATTAACTCTGTCACTTACAATGTTTCCAAATATCTGGCGTTTGTACTCATCCCTTTAGTTGGCAGCTCAGAACACCACATACAGAACACCATGGACTTTGTGGACAAGGTGAGGGATGTCATCATGGAGACTGATGAAACAATGGTCTCTTTTGATGTCACATCACTCTTTACGTGCATTCCTGTTGATGATGCAGTAGAGGTGGTCAGTTTAAGATTAAAATCAGACACCACTCTGAGCAGCAGGACCACGCTTTCCACAGAACAACTGTGTCAACTCTTGAAACTGTGCCTGCAGTCAACCTACTTCACATATGGGGAGCAATATTATAGGCAGAAACATGGGTGTGCTATGGGGTCTCCAGTTTCTCCTATTGTTGCCAACCTGTACATGGAGGAGGTAGAAAAGAGAGCCTTGACGTCCTTTTCAGGGACACCACCAAGTCATTGGTTCAGGTATGTTGACGACACCTGGGTTAAAATCAAATCTCAGGAAGTCCAACATTTTACTGACCACATCAACTCTGTGGATAAATACATCAAGTTCACACGAGAAGATGTAAAAAATGGCAGGTTGGCTTTCTTGGACTGTGAGGTCTCAGTCTCTGATAGAGGACATTTGCAAACTGAGGTGTACCGCAAACCCACCCACACAGACCAGTATTTGCAGTTTGACTCCCATCACCCTTTGGAGCACAAGTTAGGAGTCATCAGGACTCTGTACCACAGAGCAGACAGCATCCCCACTAACTCAGGAGCCAGGCAGAAGGAGAAATCCCACACAAGACAGGCTCTAGAGCAATGTGGATATCCTAACTGGGCCTTCCTGAAAGAAGAGAAGAAACCCAAACAGGACTCCAGTCAGCCAACAGGTGAAAAGGAGGAACCCAGACCAGTGGTCATTCCAGATGTTGAGGGGGTATCAGAGAAACTGAGACGTTTATTTTCTAAACATAACGTCCCAGTGGCTTTTAAACCCCAAAATACATTAAAGACTGGTTCATCCCAAAGATCCAGTCCCCCGGCACAAACAGAGTAATGTTGTGTATGTTGTTCAGTGTCAGGAGGGTGATCAGTCTTACATCGGGGAAACTAAACAGCCACTGGCCAAAAGGATGGACCAGCACAGAAGATCAACATCATCAGGCCAGGACTCTGCGGTCTACACTCATCTCCAGGTCAGAGGTCACTCTTTCAGGGATGAAGATGTTCACATCCTGGACAGAGAGGAACGATGGTTTGAGAGAGGAGTAAAGGAGGCCATCTTTGTGAAAAGAAACCGTCCATCATTAAACAGGGGCGGAGCCTCCAGGTTCAACTGTCCCCCTCTTACAATGCTGTGATTGCTAGTATCACTCAGCCCTCTGTGAACAGTAAACAGCCATCAGGTGCTAATGATCCATTGTTAGGCTGATGGTCCTTCTTGAGCATGTGATCAGCTGGTTCTGGTTGTCAGCAGCAAACTGGTTGATCCACTCTGAGAAGGTGCTATTTAAGAGACTGAGCTGAATACAGCACCTCAGACTGAGGAAGTCCTCAGGATGAGAGACGAAACGTTTCTACATTTTTTTGCTGTGTTTTGTTTTTTTGAATGTCCAGAGGACCAGATTGAACTTTTTTGGATGTTCATAATAACGGTTTTCACATTATGGGTTTGATTTTCTATAGAAAATTAAATAAGTCATGAGTGGAGGGACAGGTTGGTTTGTGGACAGCCAGAGGGACAGCAGCGTGAGACGAGACAGTCCTCTGTCTTCGTTAACAATATTCTTCATTCAAGGATCAATCACAACTTCTCGTTAACTCTGTTCCTGTGTCAAATCATCACGAGATCCTGAACCGTTTCAAACATTTTGTTGCTTCTGGTTCTTTATTTGACACAGTTACTAATGGAAGATCAGCCACTTCACTTAATAACCAAACTTCTACAAATCAAATCCCTCCTACAAGTCAATCCTCAGTTAATCACAGCTTCTCTTTTTCTCCATTCTCAGTCAGTGAGGTCAATAAACTGTTAAAAGATCTTGGTCCTAAAAAATCTGCAGGTCCAGATGAACTTCCACCTTATTTCTTAAGGCTGGCTGCTCATATCATCACAGTCCCTGTGACCCACATCTTCAATCTCTCCATAAGACAAAACTCCATCCCAGGCACTTGAAAACAGCCTTTGTTCTTCTTTGCTGAAGGGAGGTGACCCCACCTCACTGAACAACTATGGACCAATCTCTAAACTCTGCATTTTAGCCAAGGTTCTAGAAAAACTGATAAACTCTCAAATCAAAGATTGGTTCTCTGTCAGGAAGTCTCGAGTCAGAAACAGTTCAACGAGCATCACCTGCACCACCAGAACTTCACGGTTGAAGCGCCCGCGGTTCTGGATCCACGGTTCTGGATTTTATCTTTGTTCAACAGAATTAAAGTCAAAGATCAAACGGCCGTAAAATGAATAAACGCCAGAAAAAGATCCAACAAGAACGTGACAAAAATCAAGAAGTGCGTGTCGAACATTCAAACTTTTATACGAGAAACAAAAAACACCAAATGTGGAAATTAAATGTAAAATCTCAAACAAATCAAAAATATTTAAAATCATAAAAAACATGAAAACCGTGAATGTTGTAAAACAAAATATTCCAACAGGAAATCAAACTGAAAAAAATGTCAGAACAATGGAAAATATGAAAAATATAAATAATCAGTTTAATAAAATTGTTATATTTTAAAAAAGGAAACTTACTTTTTACTGGATTTAATAAAAATAAAAAGTTTTTGTTTCAAACTGCAGGAAACAAGAGTTCAGTGAAGCTTCAGGTCCGACCCGGTCCTGAAGGTTCCTTTAAAAGCCGTCGAGCAGCTCGGCAGATATTTTGCTGACACAGGTGCAGTGATCAGGTGTTCAGTTTCAGAGAAAACATCACAAACAAAAACAGATTTTTTTATTCAAATAGAAAAAAATCAGTTTCAGAAAATTCACAGCAGAAAAAATAAAACGTCAAACTGATAAAAACTCCCTCAGTCAGTTTTTACGGGCCGTGCTGGTTCTGGGAGTTTGTTGGACCAGAACCAGCACCCGGGGGACAGGAAGTCACTTGTGCTCCAGCAGCTGGATCACCAGACGCTTCTTCAGCGCCAGCAGCTTGTTGCTGTAGTTCTGCTGCAGGGCGGACGTCAGGTTCTGGCGCAGGTTCTGGAGGCTCGGCAGCGACCCGCAGTCCGGCACGTTGAGCAGCGTGTGGAAGAAGTCCAGCCACAGGTCGCTGTGGGGGACCCTGAGGACACGAGAGCTCGTTAGGACGTCTTAATAAAGTCCTGCTCACAGAGTCCACGACTCCGAGGATGCTGGTTCGGAGCCGAACTGGACCCGCTGCAGCTAAAACACTTCCTGTCAAACATCAGCTGAAACCAAGACAAAAATCAGCCGACGCCTGCAGGAAGTGCGGATCGGAACCGCAGGTCGGACCTACCTCCTGAAGACGCCAGTCGTCCTCCAGACTCCGCCCACCTCCTTCACCTGCATGTACGAGCCGAACAGCAGGCAGAACACGGTCCCCGCCAGCCCAAAGTAATCCGTCTGAAAACCAGTCACGCTTAAAGAAACTGGAACCACCGGGCCACAGAATCACTGAGAAAAGGTTTGAGGAGAACTGGACCAGATCAAAACCTGGGTCTAACCTGATACGTCCACGGTTTCCCGCTCAGCATCTCGGTGCACTGGAAGCCCGACGTCAGACAGCGGGCGGTGAAGGCGGTGCCTTCAGGGAACAGCTTCATGTCGATGCTCTGTCCCAGGTCGATGAGGACCAGGCCGTGGTCCACGCTGTCCAGGTCCAAACACTCCGTCTCCAGGAACCTGAAACAAAACCAGAGGAGAGGTTCTCCTGAGGTGGGACTCAAACCATCAACTTCTCCAGTCAGAAAGTTTTAAATGACCTTCTTCCACTTGATCATCGCCCGCTGCAGTGAAAGATGGGTGATCATGTAATCACCTGTGTCTGTTAGCAAAATATCTCAAGAACCACTGAAGGATTTAAGGAAACTCCAGAGAGTAGAAACTGAACGTGCCAGCCTCATTCAAGATGGCTGCCACAAACGCGCACGTGCCTTCAACAGATTAGATACGTGACGTGGGAGTAGCTGAGGGTCACGCCCAGCAGATACTCCGAGTTCTCACGGCAGCTGGTACCTGTCTCCCAGCAGGAAGTTGTCGGGCTTGATGTCGGCGTGCACGATGTGGGCGGCGTGCAGCTGCTCCACCATGTGCAGCATGCAGACGGCGAAGTGCAGCACGAGCGGCGGAGGCATCACTTTGGCTCCTTGCGACTTGTAGATGTTCACAACGTTCTGAAAGGACAAACCACAGCGTGTCACTCCAACGGACCGGCCCGACCCCGCGCCCTCCAGGCAGCCTACACACCAGCAGGGTGCCGCATGCGTGCAGCTCGCCGAGCAGAACGCTGCCATCGTGGAACAGGTGAGCCGAGCGGACGCCGCTGAACAGGTGACGAAGGCGGGGCTGCAGCCGAGCGTCCAGCTGAGTTTTGATGTAGAACTCCCAGGGGTTGCCTGGTTTCTGGACCTGCAGCAGAGACACCGGTCACCGACACCACATCTGGACTCAGACGGAGATCGAGGTTCCACCTCACCTTTAAAACCACCTTCTCCAACGTCACGGGGTCCGTCGCCTGGTAAACTGTTGCAAACGCTCCTTTTCCGAGGACGCAGTCGACCCTGAGGGACGCCTCTCCTGTCAGGATACAACATTTGGACGTTACCGCCGGCAAACCTGGATCACCTCTCTGGACCGGACCAGCGAGCCACGAGGCCGGTTCCTAAACCCTGGAGGGCTTCTGCGTGCACGGATTGCTAAACACAAAGTGACTAAAGGCTAGCTGAAGGTGGTAAAAGGTTAGCTAAACGCTACAACTAAAGGCTAGCTGAAGGTGGTAAAAGGTTAGCTAAACGCTACAACTAAAGGCTAGCTAAAGGTGGTAAAAGGTTAGCTAAACGCTAAAACTAAAGGCTAGCTGAAGGTGGTAAAAGGTTAGCTAAACGCTAAAACTAAAGGCTAGCTAAA